ATTCGTAACGTTCCAATGAATTTTAATGATGACTCATGAAGTGATTAATAAAATACTTTCGTTTATTTAGAATCTCTTTATTTCATCTAATTACTATTTTAGAATGGTGGCACCGAGCAGTTGTTGTCCGCAATGGATGAAGAATTTCGTTTCATGTTGCTTTTCGTGGAAAAAATCCCGAATTCAACGGAGATCTCTCAAAATGATATTACGAAATTAATTGAACGAAACTTTTTCGCACTACTGGCATTGAAACTTTGCTATGGGTCATTTACCATTAAACTGTTATTTCTTATCAAGTTCATATGAGAATGTTGTAAATTAGATAGGAAATTTATAGCAAAGGAAATTTAAAACTTCAATAAAAATCGGTAGAGTAATTTTCTACGGAAAAGCGATGAGAATTTGATTATGCAATAAAAAATGAAAAGTTGAAATGCAAAGAGAAAGAATAAAAAAAGAAAAGAAAGCAAATGTAAGTAATTGTGTCTTTTTTCACAAATACGGTCTAACTAAATGAATTTCCCGTTGCTCGATTGCCCAATTTTTGAACAGATAAATTTCCTCATTCATCTTTCAACTTATCATTTTCTGCCATTTTTATCCTTTTTCTTGTCATAAAACTTATCATTTAAACGGCTTACCATATGTTTTTTGCTAAAATTTCGCACAAATTTTAGATGGACTGAAGGTAACAGTTTGCATATGGAGCAAATCGAAGTGGATATATCAACGGTACCACAACCGTTGAAATTACTTTTCACTTTAATACAAGAAGAAGCTAAACGATTTCAACATCTCATACAATGGGATCCGCCATCTTTTTCAGCTTTACTTGCTTTACAATTTCTCAATACAAAAGGTCAATCGTTATCATTTTTCACGACAATCTCAAATCTCAAATTCCGTGTAGATTTGTTGCCTGAATAGAAATGAAATTGATCAATGTTGTATGCGCACTTTAGTAGTTCTTCAAATTGAGTCTTTTTTATTTATTTTTTATTTAAATTTACGTACTGGAGTTTTAAACTTTAAATTCCAGAATGTGATGATGATCTGCTTAGCTCGGATGCAGCAGTTGATAAATTACGAGGTACTATAACAAGTGCATTGAAAGATCACTGTTGCAATTCTTCACCACCTCATACCAAAAAGCTGCAAACAATTATTGCCCAAGTGAGTTCAAATATTCGAATAATGTTTTGTGAGGTGCAAATGTCACACAGGAATTCATTTTCCATCTCTTTTATTCTTTTATTCCTATTTCAATTATTCTTATTTGACAATTCCAGTTCATTTTTTTCCATTCATAAAAAGATAATCCTTGCAGTTTCTTGATAATTTTCAAATTTTAATAACTTTGAATATTATCCAATGTGTTTGCTTAAGCTTATCTTTACAAATTCAGTCCTTATAATTTCATTTTGCAAATTAGTTCCACATGTTTCATGCATTTTTGAAATTTAAATTCGAGAACTATTCAAAGACCTTACTCATAGTTTCCACGCCTTGGTTACTTTTATCCATTTTCACGTACACCGCCAATTCTCTCTGACCTCTTTGATTCATTTTGCTATTTTATTCTATTTTACAATAACTAATTTTTTAGATTGAAATGTTCGCTCGATTTCAACGTATCGGGCAAGAAACTTTATCACTTGCCGTTTCATCTGGTGTACAATTGCCGCCTTTAATGTCCGGTGCTGTGCAAACCGCACAACGGTTTCCGGGTCCGTCGAAGTTGGATTTTACGGAATTTTCATTCTGCCCATAAAAATGGAACATCTCTTCGACGTTTGAAACGTTTTCTTCAACTATTTTCTCGGTTTAAATTAAGGAAGGAATTCAGATGTTAAGAATGATACTTTTCTTTCAAATGCAAAAATTTGAACTAAGCTTTTTAAGTGCCTTCGCTTCCCGACTGATAAAATCCTTCAGAAATAATATTAGACTTTTTTTTATCAATCCATTAGCTATATGCCTTTTGCCGAAATTGTTCACATTATCTATGACGAATTTTAGAGCTCATATTAATACCTTCTCATCGCAATTGTACTGTCTTATCATATAATTTTCAAAAAATTAAAACCTTTAAATTTTTTGTCAATTTGTTAAATTGAAAAAAGGTGCAAAATTTTGTGTAAATTGCTTTTGTAATAATATCTGAAGTACCATATATAGTATTGCTGAATAATTCTTTCATTTTATAAAAGAATAAGCAAGAAACGAAAAAAAAGTTATAACTCTAATAAGAAATATATTTTCAAAAGAGCCTAAAATTACTTTCATATTTCTTTCTGTTTTTCTCAGTTTTAGTTTTTAGCTAAATACCCTTTTTTTCAATTACGACTACAGATTGCATAGGTTTTCTGGTGATCAGTTATTCGAATTGATTAAAATTGTTTTTTTGGAATAATTTTTGTCGATCTTTGAAAGATGTACGTGTTCTGTTTTCTATTTTTTTTATACTTTATTAATGATCTTTCTTCACGATGCCATGTCGTCCAAAATTTCCATCCATTTATTTTTTTGAGGGTAAAAAACGGTTGCCATGGTGAAATATTGAAATCACTCATTATTCATTTCATTTATCAAAAGAATTTAGTGATTTACTAATTTTCTGTGCATAAATTTTTTAATTTTGCTCTACTTTAGGAAAACAATACAAGAATTCGCTTTTTGACTAACTGTCAGCAATATTGTAATGAGTCAAAGAAATCATCCTTTTGTGTTTTGTCAAGTAAAATTATAAAAACTGCTTGTTCTGTGTTATAATTTTTCTCGATACTGTTATTTATTCATAACTATTAATTTTAACGCAATTCAAAATAAGCATTTAAGTTCCAACATTTCTATTATACGCTTTAAACATACAGCATATTATTAGGGATATAGAAATTTTTGAATTTTTCTTATTTTTTAATATCATTTTATTAACTGTTCAGCATATATAGTTGGCGATTATACAAACAAGTAGTAAAAAACATGATACTAAAGTTTATCAACAATAAATTACAGTACTTAATTGGAACTTCTGATAGCTTTACTAACTTTCATATTTAATCAGATTTTCAACATTAATTTACATAAATGCATGCCTAGAAATCTGTTATCACTCCATAAATATGGTGTGATAACTTTGCAATTTACAGATTCTTCGAAGCATTTTTGACTTTTTCGATTTCAGCATTCTGTACAGATGAAAGCCGTAAGAATTAAGTAATCATAAGATAGCTTACGGTCGATATTAAATCCTTTTTTTTTCCTTTACTGGATTCAGTTATTAACGGGATTGTTTACTCTGTGATTCTGTTCAACACGTTTCTGCTCGCCACGTCTGACACGGTTACGCATATCTTCAAAAGGAGTATCAATTTGTTAAACAATTTTAATTTTCTACTAACGGTATTGATTACAGAGTATGATTGGTTTCTTCTGCTGTGACAATTAAAGAGTTGCCATCACAGAGTGGTCAGTCAAATTATTTAATTTAAGCAAAGATCTGCTCAATTTTTAATGCGATTGTTTAAAGATACGTTGCAGATATCCAAGTTTCATTTTCTGTTTAAACATTAATGTGAATTCGTAAACTCTAATTTAATAATCTGAACTAAAAATGATCATTCCATTAACATTTCACCGAATCTTTCCCCAAATCTTACCACATTTTAGTAAAATATCCAATATCCAACATTGTGTTATTTCGAGAATCGACAGAGAGAGAGAGACAAAGAGAGAAATGCAACACAGTCAAGAAGTACAATACAAGAAAATAATCAGTTGGCTAAATGAAAAGTAATAATGACTGAAACTTAAATTAAAATCGATAGTGGGATTTTGTATGAAAGCAAATTTCTTGGTTGATGCCCATGTCAGAACGGTGATGAGGGTGGAGAAATAGTTTGAAAATGTTTGTAGAATTAGGACCCCAAGCCCTCATGGAATTCCATGCCTCATGCTGGAATCGAACCAGCGACCTTCTGTTTACTAGACAGACGCTCTGCCCCTGAGCCAATGAGGCCACAATTGTAGGTCGAAATTTCAGGTATATACATTTCATAGCTTATGCAAATATCCATATGCAATTGATAATTTATGAGATGAGAAATATAACATTTGTGTTGCAAGAGAAAGGCTGATAATCCTCACCCCGCTTCTTAACCAAAATGAAATCCCAAATGAAGGACCGAGAAATTTCAGAATAAAAACAGGTCGGGCCGTGTTCTATGACGTCAGCTATTTGTATGAAAATCTTTTGGGGAGAATTGGTGAGCTCAAATGTTCACGTGGTGGAGTGATTCTGAGAGATTGTCCGTAATGTGTGGAAAGTTTCGAATTTCACATAATGTTTTTAGGAAAGACTAACGAGTGAGTGTAAGTTTTCATGTGAACGTGAGACTGTGTAAGTTTCCTTTGTGTAGGAGAACAAGAAGGTGAAGAAGAGCGACGCAGCGTTTCTTTTGATTACAATGACATCGTTTGTGTAAATATTAACTGACTTTTCATAAAGTTTTAGAATTGAAATATTAAACTTATACTCGTGATGAGCATTTTTATAGTTGTAAATTTCACTGGAGAAAAGAAGAGAGGACAGGGCTTGACAGTAATTGTGAGGATATATTATATTTAGAGATAACAAATATATCTCTTTAATAGCAGTAGCAGTAGGTTGGAGTGATTCAGAGAATATACAAAAGAATGTTAAATATTAATGAGAAAACTAGAAAGATTGGTTCATATTATTATTATGAGTTGATAAGAATTCTTAGATAATCAAAATTTTGTATTGTTTTTAGAACAGAAAAAAGCAAAGAATAGATCGAATTGTGAGCTCATTGTTCTAGAAAATTAATTGAAGAGTTAAGATCATGTAGTTAAAGAGGGTAATATCAGCAGTGGAGAATGGAATTTTCGTCGTTGTTCGCGTTTATTAAGTGTAAGTAAAAATATTAAAATTTTAGAATTAAAGAAAAAAATTTTAAGAAACTAATTTTGCAGGAATGTGCACTAATAAAGATGTGTTATGGGATGAAAAATCCGAAAATATAGCTTCAAACAATTTGATGGCGAAAGATGAAAGTATTGCAATTTGCGGTTAATTCTAAGCTTCTCTTGTGTTGCTGTTTCTTTCATCAAGTTTATATTAAGCTTCTCGTACTTAGCTTTTTTTTACTTTAATTTTCGGAGTTTAAAGACTTTTGTCAACTTCATAGACATTTGAGAGCTTAGACATTTTGAAACCAGTTAGACCTGTACATACGAATAAAAATGTCTGAAATAAATTCAAAAAAGATAAACTTATTTAGTTTATTCATTTCAGAAAATAAGAATGCTTCAAATAAAAGGATTTTGCCGAAACGAAAGGCAAAATCGATAGGGCGCGGGTATTTTGAGGACCTATTTGTTTTGAATTCACCACCAAGCAAGCGTAATCGATCATCAATGGTGTTACAGCAAGCTAAGCCTGTTCCAGCTTTTAGCTATGGCGAGAACTTAAATAACGTGAGTAAACTTGTATCTTATTTTTACCGTTACGTTTGCCTTATTCTTTCCCATAATCGTTTATTCCGTAGGAAATTGTTTCGATCTTTTGGAGTTCTGTCATTTATTTGAATTACTAGGAGTTTCTGAAAGATTCGAAGGTAGTTTTGATCAAGTTTGATCTTAGACGTTCTAAATTTTAAAATTCAAATTTTTAGCGTTTTTTATTATTGCAGTTTGGATTTGAAAATGAAGATGAAGAGAGCGAAAGCGATTTCGAAAATGTTAAATCAAAAATGTTACATCCTTCACGAATATCACTTCCTTTCCCATCGACAGTGATCGAAACGCCAAAAGTTTGTGTGAAAAGGATCTCGTAAGTTACAGTACGAATGCTTTATATTCTTTCAAATGATACCCTATTTTAAAATGCTTTGTTTATTTTACTGAAGAAGCTTTCTGTGTAATTATTTTGATGTATTTAAAACTATAAGAATGTGATTAAGGGTTGCTTCCGAAGACTGGAAATCTAGGAAATTATCAACGTGGAAACAAAAGATTGGGATATTTAACAATATTGGACACGGAAATGGTTTTTCACTGTGTAACACATTTAAGCTGAGTGGGCTCAACTTCACCGACGATGTAGCTGGAAAAAATAAATGTGGAAAAATTAATCAAAGCTTGAGCAAGCCTATTAAACGGAATGATGCCTTGTGTCTGAATGATTGTAAAAAACCACTGATTATACTGAAGCGGACAGAAGTTTTTTCTGGGGTTAGGGTTATCGACAATGAGGTAATTCATTTCTTAGAACTTGGATTTTGAAACGGCAAGAATGATGTTAAAATTTTACCTTCTGTTAATCTTTAACAAACTGAAATTTATTGGTTGCAGCATGACTCCTCAGGATGTGGGTCTGAAGATAATGACAGAACATATTCAGATTCCGAAGCTAATTCAAACTGTTGCTCTGAAGAGGGTCGAAAGTTAAGGTATATTGCATTCAAAAATTTCCAAAAGAGTGATTTTTTGGTGAAATTTCTCTTGTTATCCATGAAAGTAGTTTTAAAACTTCAGGCGTCAAAATAACTCAATATGCGAAAGCAGACGGTTAATTGGAGGTAAAATTTTTGTATTTATTGATTCATCCTGGAAAACGTTCAGAGCGATGTTTATCATTATTTCGCATGAAAACTAATATAATTTGCGATACTAAACTTATTTTACGCACCAATAGATCAGTACATTATGTGTTCATCATGCTAGAATTGAATATAACTATTCTATTACGTGATTAGTATTCAATATGACAACAGTATACAACATTTACTAATGTCATCGAATTCTGATCCTAATCTATATGTTGATTAAGTTATTTCTATAATTGTCTACGAAATTAATTAAAATACAGTTTTCTTTTATACTTCAGGAAAAAAATCGAATAAAAAATATGCTGTATGCGGTGTTATCTCAAACATTCCCGCAAGGATAATTTGTCCGACAAAGGTATCGAAACTTTCATTAGATGAAGAGTAATTTATTTTTTGATAAATTTGTTTCTAGATTTGAAATATAATAGATTTTTTAAAATGGTTTTACTTGGTTTAGATTTAATTTTAAATCTGTACATTCTGAGTTAGTTATCTAATTCTATAGCATTTTAAAAAGTCATGCCTGAAGGTACTGAATTTTTGATCTATTGAACGCAGAATTTTAGAGAGTCGAAACTTTGGAAGCGGTTTATCGTCGTTTACATACCTCTGAAATTCCCGAACGATTGCCTTGTAGGAAGGCAGAATTCGACCGGATATGCGTATTTATGAAAGAAAGCATTACGAATAATGCGATCTCACAGGCAATGTATGTAAGTGGTGTACCAGGTACCGGTAAAACTGCAACTGTACTGCAGGTAGGTTTTTCTTTTTATATTTTGATAATAATGGTAATAGTTAATTTACTACTAGCCAGTGATAGTTTAAAAGAGATTTTGGAGAATTAGTGTTAAAAAACTTGGATCTATCGGCAATTTTATTTGTTAATTTGCAAGTGATTATGATAATGTCGGTATAAATCTTCGATTTATTTATAATCACTTAATGATAATGTGATGATTATTTTACACAAAGATTATTATGTATATATATACCACCATATAATTAAATATGAAGTTAGAATACAGCGTTTTTCAAATTTTAACGTCAAATTTGGATACACTTATTTTCAGGCTGTGCGTCACCTAAAAGCTTCTGAAAATTTTCCTGCATTTGATTTTGTTAATGTTAATGCGATGGAATTAACAAATGCGAAACAAATATTTGTCAAGATTTACCAAAACTTGTTTAATTTCAAGAAAAAAATCGCACCAAAGTAAGTTGAAATATTTATTCATGCTTCAAATGCTCGGTTCATTGCAGTATGTGCAAAATTTACTTGCTAAAGTGGTTGACGTTGTAACTTATTCGACTTAGCACCTTTTTGGGCAGTTGATTAAATGTTAGATACTGGTGTACCATGAAAATGTTGTTACCGAGCAGAAAATGCGCTTCATCTAATTATCCACTAACTTATTATCAGGGCTAGACATTTCGTATTGGTTTGCCCGTATTATTCATATACCTAAAACTTTCTAAAATATATAAAATTTATTGCAACTTTTTTTAGTCTCCACAATTTACTCTTATTATTAAATTCATATTTTGTGATAAAAGAATGATGTGAATAATCTGGATATTTTTTTTTCACTTCTTTCATGAAGAAATTAATGATTTTTAAAACGATTTTAGAACAGCACGAAAAAAATTGAACGATATCTTTCGATATCGTGACAAAAAACGATTACCAATTATTGTTTTAGTTGATGAGGTGAATAATTCCTGTTGTTTTTATTATTTCGTATGCGTAAGACTTTCAGTTCATCAAAGGGGTATTATATCAGCTCTGCTTATTGACTTTCTGCAGTTATAGTTCATTTTATATTACGTGACCCTACGCTACTTCAAATTGTTGGCCCATAATTCATTTTGTATCTTTCCTATATGAGAAATTTTTAGAAGAAAATGTATGAATATTATGGTAACAGAATGTACATATGTTTTTTAGTTGGATCTGCTAAACACTAAGAAGCAGGAAATAATATACGATATATTTAATTGGTCAGCGAACGAAGAATCGCTTGTAAGTGTCATAGCTATTGCGAATACTCTCGACCTTCCGGAGAGGCTTTTTTCGCAGCGCATTTCAAGCCGTTTGGTAATTTTTTTCAGAGTTTCATCATTAGATCATTATACGTTGTAAGGCAAACGAAGTACTGTGATTAAGCAAAGCTTGAGTATTTTGTTGCCTTCGTCTTGAAATTATCTTGTTCTAGGGTGCAAATAGGCTTTGTTTCCAACCATATGATCATGATGAAATTGCATACATCATCCGAGATCGTCTGCATGGTTCAACCGCTGTTGAAGCGGAAGCTATTGAATTGGCAAGTCGAAAAGTAAATTAATACTTTTTATTGTTTTTAAGTATATTAATAAAGTGAAATGATTTTTGTTAAATAGATAAGTAGTTTGTTAATTCTTTATGGACTGAGGCAAACTGAAGAAAGAAAGTGAGATTGGTAAAATAAGTCGGTCAAATTTCTGTTAAGTAAATAAGTGGTTTTGTTAATTCGCTAAGTAATTAAAATGGACTAAAAAGAGTGGTTAAGTATTAATTTATCTTACTACTTCTGGAGACTATTTTCAACAGTTGGTGTTTGCTCATATTTTACTTTATTCCATTTTCTTCGGCAGTTTTCATCAAGTTGTACTCTTTAGGTGGCAGCTATATCTGGTGATTTGCGAAAGGCTCTGGATATTTTACGAAGCGCTACAGAGCTTGCGCTAAGCGCTAACCAGAAACAGCTTACAATGAAAAACGTAAACATTATTAGTTGAGTTTTTTGATTCAAGAGAAGGCTTTTTTCTTATTAATAACTTTGAAATATGATTGCTTAGGTACACGAGGCTATTCGTCAAGCATCTACAAGTATTCGGGTTGAGTTCATACGAGCTTTACCGTGTCATTCTGTTCTACTTCTTCGTGCTGCTCTTGCTGAACAGCTGAGTTCAGGTTTGTTATTAACGTACGATTTATTTTGCGAAATCTTCCGGTAAATTATAGTAGCATTTTGTAATTCTTTTAGACTAACAGAAGTATTAAGCACACTGTTAAGAGCTCTCATTGAATTCAGATAAAAGCTAATTATGTTTATATAACAATTTTGCATTTTAGGCCTGGATGAATTTCAGTTTCATATTCTCTTCAAACAATATTGTTTGCAATGCAATGTTGCAAATATTAATCCTATGTCGACAAGTGCTGCATATCGAAATGCCATGGAAATGTGTAGGTCAGCCGTCGGTCTTTTCCTATCATTATCTCTCTCTTGTATAATATGAATTTGTTGGAACTGCATGTACATATTGATTTTTATTAAAAACTTTTTTATTGCAGTGAACGGTTATTAGTAGCAGCATCTGGAACTGGTAGTATGTCCCGACGTTTCCGTCTTGGAATGACAACACATGATGTACAGTTTGCTTTCAAACAGATCGATGAATCAATTCTTTGAAATAACTTTTTGGATTGCTTTTCTAGTGTTTTTGAAATAACGGCTGTAGCGCGTCCAGGAAAGATGTTGGGATTAAGCTGATGTCAAATGTAGTGTTTGAGATGGTTGGAAAATGCAGATTTCAGTAATTCTTTTTTGTACGACAAAAAAAAAAATTTTTTTAGTTATTTCAACAGTTTGGAGTAAAAATGCGGGACTCTTTTAAATCTAATTTCTTTTTATTAATGTGAAACAGTCCTAGGATGGAAGAAATTGGAAGTGTTTTTTCTTTTAATGCTTTTTAAATGGTTAATTTAAAACTATGTCTAACTTTCAAAGTCTTTCTTAATTTTTGGAAGCACATAATAGAATTTGTGGCATCATGCTATTATACTTTAATAGCTTTTCTTGCATTCTTCTTGGTGCTATTTTCTAGTTATTTTTGTATTTGTATATTATAATAATTAGTAGATAAATATAATTAGGATTGAATTTACCACTGAGAAAATAGCTAATTACTGACTATCCGAACGAATGCCTGCTCACTAGATAGGAATTATTTTTCTGTGTTAGGAATATTTTATTTATGTCAGTCCGTTGTGTCCTGAATCAATAATGGCGTATCGTTATTCATTGATATTTTGGCTACTTATCATTTTGCTTATTATGTAAATGTTTATTCTTTCATATTTACCGTAGGTTCGTTCAATTTCTTGAAAATTTGAAGAGAGAAAGACGTGTGCTTTGTGTGCTTCCTCTTAAAATTTACCTCATTTCATTCTTTTGCATTAATCATTCAAATTTCGTTAATTTCATTGTTTTTCAGACCTGTCGGGAATTAGGTATACTTTTGGGTATCCATTACAATAACCTTGACTGATTAATCAAGGTTATTGTAATGGATACCCAAAATCACCTTATAATTATTGACTTACAAAGAATAGACTAGGTGTGTTGCACATGATTTAGCAGATGTTCTGACTTGAGTTTTGTTAAATCTAAAAAACCAATGGTCGTTGAAAAAACTTCCTTGTTATATTTTATCATCACTTCCACTTCCAAATAATTTTCGGGAGTTGCAAGATGTTCTACTTGATATTCAATTGAAATCAGTTTGGTAACCCGTAATTTTCTTTGAAAGGCACTTTATTTTTAGGCGGTCTTTATTCATCGTTTTTTGTTGCAAATTTCTTCGATTGAAAAAGTTAGTGATCTTAAATGTTTGTCAAGGATTATATATCTCTGATGTCATGATATTAGGAATTTACAAATGGTGTACCGGTTTGAGCATTTGCTAATCTCATACATCTTAACTGATTTTGTAATACGAATGCTGCAATAATGATGGGGTGTAAATTTTTATTTTGGATACTTTTTTGCACCAACTTAGGTTAGCATATGTTGTCACGTATATCATGCATAAAAAATTCTAATTTACTTAATTTTCTTAAATCTTGTTTCTTTCATCACAGTGTCTTTTTGTCATTTTTACAAAAAAACCTACGTGTGTTTCGATGTTGGTTGTATGTAATTTCATTGTAAACTTCATTTCCTGAAAAAGAAATTTTACAATTTTTTTCATTTAGGTACATTTATTTTTCTATATGTCAATTTTTTTAAGTTCAAAGAAGAATTTATCGCATTAATTTATGAAATAAAGCAATTTACTATTAGAACTCATTATTTGGCATATTTCATGGTACGAATTGCCAATTAATTCATGTCTCACTGTATACAAATATGGATGATAGATGCATATTGTAGGGCATATATTTGTTACATTTATAGTGAAATTTTCAATATTAATTCTGAAATCCTGTACTGAAGTTTTTAGTTCAATCGAAAAAGGAATTGGAAAGAATAAATGTTGGTTGAAGTTATTGCTGGTCTCTTTTTTAGATTCTAGGCATTTTAACTTAATAGAAAGTCAGTTAATGATACTGTGACGAGGAAAATAATGCTATAGGGATATAAAAGAGGTCAGGCACTACCTATATAGAATCAGTTAGTGAGCATTCAACCCGGAGTAAGGGTCAGGAATTGTTATCTGTAAATGATGAGTTGATGATGTGGACCTCAATCGCAATGTATCAATGAAGGAGATAAGCTTGTGTATCGCTTCATGAAGGATATATAAGACTAACTTATAGACGAGATGCTTTACAGAGTGAAAACATTTTTCGGGTCATCCTTTCTTCTAAATGATGGGATCATCGAAGCGCGAAGCTGTTGTACAGTCAAAGACGTAGGATTTGTGGGAGGGGTTCATGACGGGTCGTAGGGCAGGTAGTATGAGGGACTTAGGTTCCCGGAAATATATATAAATCTGCTTCATCGATTTTAACTGAATTAATGTAGGTACACGGCGCTATCCATAACCATAAATGGGGATGGAGGAGAAATGAAGAGCTCTAATGGAGAGGAAAGGGAAGGTTATTACCTTTCAGTTGATAATTACCTTTTACGGAAACTAGTCGGAAGTTGCTGGAGGAACAAATTTGCTTTCGCGATACCCCGCCCATCTTACCCAACTAAATTTTTGTTTGATGAAATAAGTGATAATTCTGATGGGTTTTTATTAGTATTGAAGTAGTTGAAGTATTTTATTTCCAGTTCACTGGAGCACCTTGCCTCATTTCCAGAGACGATGACAGGTAGTATCATAAAATCTTTTCTTTTTGTTATCCAACGAACATTTCGATTTCAGGAGTGTGTAACGGATGATTATCGATTTATCAGTCATCTTCACCTGTATCGCTCAGTGATGCAAAGCACTGATTCATCTCAATTGATGTGTCCTATCGATTGAGAAATTTCTGAAATGCGAAAGCGAACGCTAATTCGTTTTGGTGAAGTTGGTTGGTTGAAAGAGAGGAAGGATGTACTAATATGATACATAACAGGAATGGCCAGAAGGTTTGCTTCAAGAGACATCATTCAAAAATAACATGCGGACACTCTTAAATATATCACTAACGGCATTCACAGCGTACAATATATAGAAACGAAATGATAGGCCAACATCAACCACATTTTTCACTGATGACGTATACATTACAGAGAGAGAACCAATGCATAATACACATAGAGGAGCGTTATGAACTTTGTTGCCATGTTGAAGCAGCACGCTATGTTTTACAGGTAGTGGCAATAATGATGGTTTATTGTTGATATCGGTGTTCTCGGTTGGCATTGATAATGCTCATGTCAAGTCCTTTTTTTATTATTTTTCAATGGAATTCAGATTTTAAATGAATTTTTCGGAAGTTTATTTTTTAAATATTTTTTGCTATCACTGAATTTTTTAATCACACTTCCGCTAACATCACATCAGCACTGCGATACACATTATCGAATGATCGGAGGTATCGTTATAGTTCTTTTTTGCCCTTAATATTTTCCTGTAATGGTCTTTTCTGATTCATTGTTGGTTATAGCAGCAAAATTCACAAAAATATAAATAAGTTCCAAAAAATTCGATTGCTTCTTGCTATCAAAATAGAAGAGGTTTCACTTACTCGACTTTGCAAAGGATTTTTCTTTTCATGCTCACAGTTATTTTTCTGGTTTGCTTACTTAGTCTGTAGAGAATATCTAAAAATATTCTAATTTTAGAAACGGAATATGAAACAGATGGAGCTTTGAAATATCACTAACTTATGTCCTTGAATTCATCATTGATTCTAACATTCTCCCTTTATTTTGTTTCCCGTCGTTGAAAATCAAGTGAAAAGGCCGATTTTTGAAGGATTTTCTGATTTACCATTCCTTCCTTTCCTTGCTTCTTTAGTCATTATTTTTCACTTATTTTTAGCGAACTGAAGCTAAGAAGCTAAGAAAAAAGATGGGCAAACTTTAATATGATTGATTTTGATAAAAGTCATATCAGAGTGTGTTTTCACTTTCTTCATTTCCAAGTCTAAATTTTTGTGATTCAATTAATATTAGCTTAAGTGGGGTTGATCAGATTCGTGCTTTCCGTGCTGGATTTGTAGGTGCCATCATAAGTTCATTATGTTCATGAGAGTTTGAGGAAGAAAGTGATAGATTTACGATTGGAATAGATAATTTTTCGATTTTTTTAAACTTTTTCTAATAAAATTTTATTTGATTTATTTTTTAATAAATTTTCTTTTTTTTTGTTTTTCTAATTTACAAAATTTTTTTGGCCAAAGAAAATGTTAATTAAAATTTGACTCCATGTTAGCTATGATTTTGGTTTTAATATTTTCTATGTCGGCACCATTATTTTGTTGTTGCCATACGTACTGACCGAGAACGAGAATATTTGATTTTAGGAAAAATTGTTAAAAAAATGAAAGGATATGAAATAGATAATTTTCGAGGTTAGCCATCGTTATTTTTTTTATGTTCCAAAAATTTCTGGATTCTATGTGTATGAACTTTTCAGATTTGCTTTCATCGTAGGAGTGTTTTACAAAATTTTGTAATGTTTTACTATAACTGCTACGATATGTTTCTAATAGTAAACTTTATGTTGTTGATAACGAATGGTTATTTCTCTAGCTATGTATAAACATTTTTGATTTTGTTCGAATAGGCGCTGGATCCATAGGCCAGATGGTAGCATTTCTAGATTCGAGCTAACATATGGGTTAATTTGCTGTCACTTTATACTTTTAATATTTTTATTGAACCAGTTAAATTCAATATTTTATGTAAGATTTTTGTACATTATTTTCGGATTATTTAGGAGGATGCTTCTGTTTTTTCTGCCATATATTTTGGTACAGGTGTGTGGGCTTTTAAGCTAAAAATTCCCAGCTGTTATTTAGGTAAATGGATAGCCTTTCTTATTAAAATTAAGTGCTGGTAATGTTTAATTGACCTTTTACATAGTGAGTCCATTTACTAGACTTTAAGACTAAAAATAGCAAAGATTTTATTGGCATTTTTTTAAAAAAAGTAGAGAGATATATACTTATTTTTAGAAAAAGGTTGAAAGGGGTGGACAGCTATGCTTTTTGTCCAGTTCAGTCGAGACAATTTGATTATTTGGCATTCCCTTCACATACCATACAAAAAACCTGCAATGAAACAGAGGGAAGCAGTGAAAATGATTTGAAAAATCTGTTTATGCTTTTATCGCAAATCATATGAGTTCTTTTTTGTTCTTACTTGTGAAGTTAGGCGCGTAATTAATTGAAGAATGGATAGGTAAGTTATTTCTTTTGATCAATCTTTGATTTAAAAGAAGTGCAGAATTTTTTGAATTTTTTAAATCTATAAATTTTTTTGTATTTTGTTCTTTATTTTTCTAAGGCCTAGATAAATGTATATATGATGATGTCAACCTTAAAAAATGCCTTTCACAAACGTTACCACAAATAAATTGATTTATAAGTTTTACTAACAAAGAATTTTTATAAAACTTATAAAGGATTTTTTTACTTATAAAGAATTTTTTTTTCTAATTATATCAAACGCTGGCCAGATCAAGACAATATATTAATATCTGAAGATGAATATCCAACGTTTGGAAAGTGAATCGTTGCTCTTGTAATTTTGGTTATTTTTTCTCATTAAATTGTGAAGAATTTCATGAAGATATAAATATAGCATCCTACTATATAAATCTTGTATAGTAATTTAAGAAGTAGATTTACCAATCCTTAATTTCGCTGTCAAATTTTAGCTGTCGACAATTTAGCTAGAAAGATAGATTAAGATAAATTGGCAGATGGATTCGATGGGCTTGTTCAGTTGTCTTCCGCGTAATTTCGCTATGCATCGAATGTATAAGCAGTTTAATTATTTAAAATCATTGTTATTATAATTTATTGATTTTAAAGATATGAATTTCTATGAAATAAAAAGTCAAGTCATTTAAACCTTTCATTTTTTATACAAGAAATAATTCGCAGAATGATCCTGCTATCTTTTAATCCTTCATTCCATTTATTCCAATTTCAAACTGGTTTCAAAAATTTTCATGATTGTTTTATTTATAGTTATATGCTAAAGCTCTTCAAAACTGTTTAAAGTTGTATCAAGAAATTTTATGTTGTATATTCAAGAAATTTATTTTTTTAACAGCAACAGAATTGACTGTTACAGTTTTATATTTTCTTTTAAATCCGATGTGATAGAGTTATCGATCGGTCTCACTTTCCTTTCTGGATTAATTATTTCGTTGAGAAGAAGAAATCAAATCTTGTGCTAATTATAAATTCAAATAGTAGGAACTAGTATAGAGAAGGGAGATAATTTATTGTTTCAGTTGGATAAAATTAATAAAAATGTCTTTGGGGACTAGTAGAAGAGTAAGAGTGAAAGAAAAAATATTAAATCTTTTTATTACTTTAATGACTTCATTTGTCTTACTGCGGAGCAACATATCTACGATTTCAAGATTTGTTTAAATGCATGCAATCAGTGATTCAAACTGTGTAATATTTATATGAGGATTATTCGCTCTTCGTTTACTCCTCATCTTGTAAAACTTTTTTTATACTATTAAACTGAAATTAGTGAGCCGTTAACTAGAAATTAAGCAGGCCAGTCAATAAATATTGTCAAGATTTACACCTTCCCATTTATAAAATACCTACACTTTTTTGAATTTGAAAAAGTATTTACATTGTTAACTCTTTCTAGAATATTTCTGTGACACTACCTCCATGTCGTATCGCTAAGTTTTAAAATTGAGGTTTCCAATCTCAAAATGATATTTTTTTGCAGAGATATCAGCACTGGCCAATATTGTGCAACGATTCGGTAGCCGAGTTCGTGAAGCCTTGGCAACGGCCTCCGAGGCTATTTCAAATGCCGTCGTCGATAGTGATCCCATCACGGTCTATATTTAATTTGGTTTTTAGTTTTTTGTTGGTTGCCATTGTTTAGTTTATCAAATCGTAAGTATAAATAAATGTTCTGAAAATTTAGTATCAACTTGTTTAATATTCGGATTTTTCTAAATAATTGAAATTCCATCCGAGATTTTCAAGGAGGAAATTTTGAATTAAGTTTTTTTTTGGAATATTTATTTATCTTTTTATTGGTTCTGTCATTTTGATCTACTGTTCCTCCTTTTTTCATTTCCATTTTTGGAGTACAAAAATGTAATGTCATTGCTTTAATGTCATTTCATATTTTCCCCTTCTACTTCTTTACCTTATCCTTCTACACTGTTTTTATGTTTTTTGATTGTTTGTAAAAAAATCTTTTTTTATTAAAAGTATTAGTGTAATGTAATCCAGTGTTGTTCAGACACCTGTGGAATCAATGTCTCGTTTTATCAAGGATATGAATGAGAAAGGTATGGCAGGCTTGGCCTCAGAATATCGTAAAATTGACGTGGAAGATGCACCATTCGGCTCTCACAAAGCGTTTGTAATGAATATGGCTAAAAATCGTTATTCAGGTAAAGTTTTGCCATGAGTTTCAAGTTTTATAAATTTCTTGTATTTACAAGAATTTTTCTTGAAAGTTTCTTCACAAACAATCTTTTCCAAGTTATTTTTTGCAAATTTCTATGTGTAGTTTTGATTATGATTTTTTGGAGTTTTCTTTTTTTAAGAAGTGTAAGAACTTTTTCATTTAATTTTCTAGTTAGAGTTAGCTAAAATAAGAATGTTTGATTTTCGTTCGAGATAGTTTTTTTTCTTTCGCGATTCATTTTCTAAAATTTGTACTGTAAAATAGATAATTGTAGATGTCGTATGTATTGATGAAACGCGCGTCGTTTTGAAAATTGGGCCGGCTGCAAGTGGTGATTATATTCATGCAAATTATGTGCTGTTTTCTGAATTCCAAAACAAATTCATTTGTACTCAGGTTTCTTTTATTTCAAATCTTAATATTGTTGGTTAAAAGGCTTTGCTTTATTATAATTCATATAATAGCAAGCGACCATTTTATTATGCTCTGTTCATCATTATGTAATCAAGAAATTTATCATTCAGAATAAAAATATTTTAGGGTCCTTTACACACAACCAGGGACGATTTCTGGAGGATGGTATTTCAGGAACGTGCTGAAACAATTTTGATGCTTTGCAGGTCTGTTACTCGATATCTATAGTATTAATGAAAATAGTATACAATATGCCTATTTTATTAACTGTTGAATCTTAGATGGAGTGAGTGGAAAGGACTTTTTTCTGGACCTTGACATGGGTCTATAATTGAGATTAAACTCTAAATTTTACTTATTCTAGTTTTACTGCTCACTAAGTGCTTGTCTTGTCTTTATGTTTTTAAATAAGTCTTTTTTTTATTCCGTGATTCTCAAACTTAAGTTTTTGAAAATTTATTTCTTTTAGACCATCTGAAGATGGAAAACCGAAATGTGCAGTTTACTGGCCGGAAAATGGCGATAAATTAGAACTTAGTACGGTAGATGTTGAAAAAGTTGGTGAGGAAAATTCCGATTTCGAGATTCTACTTTTCAAAGTACAGTTGAAAGATGAATTCAAACAATCGCCTTCCATAAACAACAAAGACCCATTAGTAGTGAAACAATATCGATGGAGCACGTGAGTAGTTCCTATTATTATTTTGGATATGGAGCAATAATGGCTGAGTGAAAAACATTAATGAAAAAAATATATCTGCTGAATTCTCAGTAGTATGTAGTATTATATTTTTTAGAGTTAATTCCTTAAATCTAATTATTATTCTTTCAGATGGCCTGATCGTGGAATTCCAAGTCATGAAAATGCGATGATCCCGTTGAAATTGTTATCACTGGTAAGAAGCACTCGAGCACCTTGTGTTGTGCATTGTTCTGCTGGGATCGGACGGACCGGTACCGTTGTGGCTATTGAACTTGGCATCAGACGGTTTCACGATGGCCGCAAAGTTGATCTGGCAATGGTAAACGCTTTCGATTTTTCATTTATAATCCAAAAGGTAATTTAGATATAGAAATCTGAAAATATATATTTACGATAAACTTCGATTATTCAAACAAATGTCATAGAAATTTTGAGATTTTTTTTTCAGATTATGATTTTTTTATATCTTATAAATTTGTTTCTTTATGTAGTCAAATCGTTTAGCATGAATGAAGTTATGAAGTAAAAACTTCTTTCAGCTTGTAAGAGATCTCAGAAAGAAACGGGCACAATGTATACAAACCGAAATTCAGTATTTGTATTTAAGTCGTGTGTTAACCGAGTACGCTTTGAGCTCCGGTGAACCATTATCTGATGATGTGCGTCGTGCAGCGGAATCATTTCTCAAAGAATACGATTCCAAAATTAAAAAATAATGTTTGGTTTGGAATTTACAATCGTGGGAGTGAAGAGAAACAATTAGATATAGTTTTGTATGTTTCCAAAAAGTATGATTTTTTCATTAATTTATGGATATTTCCTTTGAATATAAATTTCTGCAGTAATTCTTAAGTTAGACAGGCGACAAATAGAATCTGTTTTATATTGATTTGGAATGGAAGAACATATTGCTCAGGCTATGAATCACCAGAAGCTTTAAGTTGAAGTCTCAAGTCGTGAAGTGCTATTTACTCGTTTTAGCAACTTTCTATATACTCCAAAATGTTTTTCTGTGTAAAGTTGTTGTTTCCATTTTTTCAACTTCTAAATTTATATGTCACGTAATAAAGTTTTCTGTAGTAAAATGATGATACGGAAATTTTCGGGAAAATGATATAACACTTTTTTGCAGTATTCTTTAATTTTAATTTCTTTTTGAAGTTTTAATTCAGCTTAATTCAGTTTGTTCCAATTGGCTTGTTAGTTTCGTATGTGCTGGAATTGGCACCCAAATGAAGTGATTATTGAAAGATATGTATAATTTTAGTCTACTGGTACTACAACGTCTTCCTATTTTCTAAATTCTCGGATATTAGGATTAGGAATCGATCCGGCTTTGAATTGGTAAATTGGTTTGATGATTACATTTTGGAATTCACTGAGCAGTTTTTTAGGATAAATATACATCTCTGCAATATTAGTTACTTTAGCTATAATTGTTACTTCAGCTTTTACTAAAAGAATCACTTATCTGAAATATCTAATTTAAATCATCATTTGAGTGGCGTTTTAACACATACAACATAGATAGTGTTAAATGTTTTAGCATATAAATTGTTGGTAGGTTGAAGCATTAAAGATAATAAATTTTTCAAGACTGAGGACCGATAAACTATTAATCATGATTATCTTCAGCAAGCGTCAGTAATACTAAAAGCAATGAAAAAATTTATTGTCGCAAGCGCAAACTTTCAAGCTTTATTGATTTATATTTTTAGATTAAATCCATTAATTTTGCTCAAAAAGAGCAAGAAATGTTATGATTTAAATGACAAAAAAATGACATTGTACAAATGTAACATGAAACAGTGAAACAAACAAACTTGGCTAAAATTCCTTTTCATATTAAAATTTGACTTTGGAAGATTTAAAAGTCTTAGTTGATGTCAAAACACAATATGTTCGTTTTTATCTTTTGTACTTTTCCTGTGCTTTTAAATGTTAAACAAATGAATCAGATCAGATGGAAATATGTGATTTAGCTCTGATTTTTTTGAAGGCTTTTTTCACTTATAATTTCGCACGCTTTGCGGCCTCTTTGAACTTTTACGGGGCAATCATTGCGATCTAAAGTGGTGAAGGCAATTTTAAGAAACTTTATGTTGCAATGAACAGATAATTCTAGATCAATTTATAACAAAAATATATTTTTTCAATTTTTTGGGATTCAGTTGTGCGGAGCTATGAATCTCAAATTAAGGTAAGAAACGAAAGTTGAAAAATCGAATTGAAAATTTTATTTTGTGACAATCCCTCTTTTGTTGCTCAACGACAGAAATTGTAGGCAACTATTTTTCTAATTAAGGTTACGATTTGATGAGTATAAATCGAATAGATGAATAGATTGGAGAAATTAATGATATTGTGGTGATCAGTACTTCTATTCACAAATAGGAAAAGTGAAGTTTAAATTTGAAAACTTTATGCTGTTGTGAACATATGATTTAGTGAAGGTAGCGATTGGAGTGAATCACCATCGAGACTTTGATCCGATTGACTACTTAGATTTGATTGACTATGAAAATTGTGCCAATTGTGGCGTAGCATTCGAGTCTGAAAAAAAGCATTTGTTATTTCAAATAATTTATGTAATAATTTCTCATATAATAAAATGATTGATTTAAAAGAAGAAACATCCCGCATTAATAACATTTCACTCACATTTGTTATGAGGATTTTTTTTGTAATAATAAAAACCTAATCATAAACCGTATCACTATCAGCTATCAAAAAATAATTGATAATGGAATAGTTTTTATATTGAAAAAAAAAACTTAACAGTTGTCAGTATATTTGCGCTTGCAATTTAGAATTTTAAAAATAAACAACACAAACCTCCATATAATAGCCATCACGTACATTTGTAAACATTATTTCAACTAACGACGCCCAAGCTTCGATTGTTTCCGTTGGCTAAAAAAACAAAACAAAAGGATTTTGAAAAAATTTTTTTTATTAGCTATTAATTGAAACAAAATACTGTTTGTTCATTTGTGGATTAATTTTGCAAAGTATTCAAGAAAGTATTTTATTCACCTGATGAGTAGCACCATCCAGAAAAACACATTCGGTTGCAAGCGCATCAGCTAAAACAGCAAAGAAATCAGCTTTGAAACCCCAACTGCGCTTATGCGCCTGCTCAGTGCCATATTTATTGGATATTTGTCTGATCTGAAATGGAACAGAAATTAAAGTAAGAATGGATTGGCTATAATATCAAGTTATGCTGAAAACTTTTAAAATTTTCATCCAAAAAGTATTTCAAAATGATATCAATTTCCATATCTCATGTTTATATTTATGCTTCTACTGTTATCTAAGCTTAATAATGATATATTGATGATACCTTTTCTAAATTAGTAATATTTTGGACGATATCGTTAAGAAATTTTTTTAGAGCCATAACCAACTCATTAGACTGTTCACTACTTAAATTTGCATAAAATTGCGCAAAATCATCACGCTTGTGTGCCATTCGTTGGACGATTCTTAATGCTATATCTGATCGTGCGTTTTCCATACAAAATAATATAATTGACTGAAACAAGCGGCTTATCAGCTAAGCTAAATTACAAACATTCATAAATTCAACTTCTAAATTCGAGTCAAATTTTATTAACTTCAAATCTAATTCGAAAATTATGGAAATCAAATAATTGACCTTATAACCAAAAGTAGTCTATTCTTCGTAACTGCTAATTTCAATCTAGAAGGATTTAACCGCTAATTTCAATCTAGTTATCATACACAGTTCTCATGATAATACTGTGATTGATGAAATTTTCCACAGCAACTCTTCCTGATTGGAATTTGGAAAGTATTACCTATCAGTTGAAATATTCATTTTTTGCACTGTGAAAACGATTCCTTATAACTATTTTGGAAATTATTAAATATAAGTTACCTGTGAATTAGGTGTTATAAAAGGTGACTTAATTGTTGAAACAGTTGAGGGACGTTGCATTGTTGGTGTCATGCGATCACTTTTTTTACTGTTACTGCCACTACTGACTGCTTGTAGTGATTTGACAATATCAGTTGAATGTGGCCTTCGAGAAATCTGTTTTAGAGGTTATTGAGAATAATCAAATTTATTGTTAACATCAAGTTCAACAGGTGGAAATTTGGCATTTATTGAGAGAAAAATAAGAAAAAATGTTGAAATAGTAATGAAGTGAAAAATTCCACATTTTTACCAACTCTGATTTCATAAACTTGATTTAAATTCTATTTTACATATTCGGACAAGTAAACTTTTTTAATTAAATTTTATTAACCCTGTATGAGATTTTGAAAAAGAGGCCTTAAAAGTTAATAATATTTTGAAAAAAAACTTTTAGTTGTAAATTAAAATTTATTACACTTTTGAATTTTTTTTCGAAAAAATTAAAATTCTTGATCAAATTTTCATGCTTTAGTTTTCTGTTAAAAATAATTTTTCCTATTTAAAATCGTTGTTTCTTCCAATTGAAACTTTCTTCTCAACAACATTCTCCTCGTCAATGCAGCCTAAATTTTCAGTAAACATTAAACTGAATTAATACAGTTCAGCTGGATTGAATCAAGATTTTGACTAATATGAATCAGTTTATCTTCACAGTTCCGCTTTTACATTTCATTAAAGAAACTCACTTTTTTGCCATTCTGCCTGCTTCCTTTGTTTTGCAATGATAAACTGCCTGTTATTAAAGGATGATCTTTGCTTTTCTATAATAATAAAAATACCAGACTAAAACTTTAACACATGCTGAGCAAGATATAATGATAATGGTGATAGTGATGATGATATAATGATAACGATGATGATGGCGATGATCATATTTTTTGAATGCCATGGAGGAAAAGGGTAGAGAGCAAACCTTTTGATCATCAAACACATCGGGGAACTTAAATGGATTCATTTTCTGTGGTACTTTCTGCAAAGCAGTCACTGATCGAGGCTTTGTCAACAATCCATGTGAAGAACTTTGAACAGAGCTATTTGATAAGTAACTTGAATCGAATGACATTGACAAATGCTGTCTGAAATATCGAAATTTGAGATTTCTATTGAAATGAATGATCTTTTTAAAAATACAATTTTTATCATCTCAAATGTGTACTACTGTTTACTTACTATTTTATTCTGTCTCTAATAATGACCAGTTTATTCACTTCTCATTCATCTAATAAGAACTATTATCTTTTTAAACATTAACATTTGATCAACAAGAAATTGATGGTTTTCATTTTTTTAAATAATTTTAGAAGTTAAAAATTGCATGTAAATCAAAATAAGTAAAAATGATCATTTTACCTCAGTGAATCATCATTTGATCTTCGACTTGCAAACAAATTCTAAAAAATATCATTTCTAAGCACAATTTGAACTAATTCAAGCGTATTCATTAAATAAAAATAAAGCATTATCGTGATTTTCTCTACAATTACATTTTATTGTTTTAGTAAACGTTTTTATAATGAATGAACCGAAATTTGTCATAACTCAGTATGGATGATAAATTTGATATTTTCAAGAAATTTCGAAGAAATTTCAACAGATCTTACCCGATTTATTCTTTCGATCTGAGTGTTAAAATTTTTATATGTAATATGTAATCACTGCAACTTAAAACTTTCGGAATATTCAAAATTAAATTAAAATTTCATTTCAGCCACTATAAATTTAAATTTTATTTTATGAATTCTAAAAGTGCATTCAACGAACAAATTTTTTTTATTTATGCCATATTTTTAGGTTAAAAATGTTGAGATACCAAACTCAGCTTTATGTTGAAATAAATCTTAAATTAAATTTCGATTTCATTTTGGAAAATTATGGTGATTTTTTGCTTTTCTAATTATGACTTTCCTTAAAATTTGATTTTTTTTTGGAAAAGATAGAAGGAATATTTTACTTATGAGTAATGACAAAAGATGGAAAAGAAACAGAAAAAAATGAGAAAAATGTTAGAAACTCTAATTAGTATAGCCAGTTATAACATCATTCAAACCTACCCTAAACAGAATTACTTTTTCGATATGTAAAAATAAATTCAGTGAAGTTTTTTTCTTCTTGATTAAAAAAAGCAATATACATGCTTTATGCAGCCTAAAAATTACAAATCCGAACAATGAAAATTATTGGGATAGTTATAGTTAGCAGACGATATTTTACTATCATCAATAGCAGTTTAAAAAGAAGATAATTCTGCTGCTTTTTACAAGTCCGAACAATGAAAATTATTGGGATAGTTATTTCAAAGTTATCAAATTTATTATGCTTAATTCATTTAAAAAATGTGCAATAATAAATTTATTATTTCAAGTAAACAAATTGATATTGCCATCTTTTAGTATTATGTATACATCCAAAAAATAATGTAATCTTATTTTCGCAATTAAAACACGCAAATGCACTCGATATTACACGGTGAATTTTTCTTTTCTTTCTTTCAAAATACTTTTCAGCGCTTTTACATGTAGAAAATTAGTGACGCATGAAATAATTGGTTTTTTTTACCACGGTTCAATAACCTTCATCGCCGTCAAACTTATTTCTGGGAATAATTACATTTCAATTTAGCAGTTATGACAAATTATATTTGAATGAAAAGTGAAATTTCTCTCATTTGACAAGTTTGGTAATTGTGCAGGAACTATCCTAATTGAAATTAAGTATTAAAAAAGGAACAAAACTACAAGATTTAACTTTTTTGCTTTTTACTCTATCCTGTCACTCTCTTTTTGCATATCTACTTGCACAAGCTTAGACTTTAAATGAAATTGCAATTTCGAAAGAGAAGTATGAAATTAACTTGAAAATTTTTATTTTCCTTTGATATATCCCAGCAATTCCTTCCTTCTTTCTTCCTCTTTTTTAATCGGTGAAATTATGAAAGAAAATAAATTGATTTCTTCAAAAATTCAACAAGTTTAAAAAAAAACATCAAACTTTCAATGAAATCAAAGTAACAAGACAGAATTCAAAATAAAAGTTTTTTTTCCTTTTTCGATACACTCTGAAAAAGATGACTCGAATTTCAAAAACTAGAAATGGCATCAAATTGGGAGCTATTTCTAATTGAATTCAATTATCATATCCAAATGATAAGCAATTACAATATGTTTGAAATGCAAGCCATGTCAAATTTTTTTCTTTTTAAATTTAAATTTCAAACTAATACCAAATGTTGATTACCGTAGTGTTTAAAGATTTAAATCAACTCTGACCAATCGATTATTATTAAAACATTTAAAGATTCGTATTACTTTGTCAGGTGTGATATTGATAATAAGTATAGATAATATTATTAGTAATGCTAATCAGTAATAATGGTAGTTAGTGACAGCAATGATGAGAACAGCATCGATAAATGAGAAACTATTAGTAAAAAGGATAGAAATTTTTCCTCAAAAAGAATTATAATAGCATTGGACAGATAAATGCTATCAGGCTGAATTGTGACATAACTTATTTTTCTTTTTTTGCTTATAAATCATTTTTTAAAAAAATTTGAAAATGTGCAAAAGGCTGCCCTTTATACAATGCTATTTTTTGATGGAAAATATGAAAAGACGAGAAATTATCAATAGTGATGATAAGTTGAAAAGAAATGAAAAAAGGGGGAATGTGTACTCTTATTTTATGGGACAAATAAATTTTTGAAAATTGTTAATTATTTCATGCTGTACATAATATGAACATACAGAGCTCATTTCCGCTTCCTCATGGATATTCTGATGAAGAATTGGAAGTATACATACAATGCTAATAATGCTTCTATTGATTGTTTATTGATAGCAGTTATACCCAATCAGTTGAGAATGAGAAACTGTAGATAAAATATTCGTATAATTGCTTTTAAATTGCGCAAAATTGCTAACATTTAAAATTTAGCAAATTTAAATATGTGCTAAAAAATTAATTTATAAAATGATAAACAACAGAGTGAAATATATTTCCAAGAAGTTCATAGGAGCATAAATGACATTGTTGTGTGTTTTACAGGCTGAGGAATGCTCAAATTAACGATAAATGCGTTAAATTTAATATGAATAAAGATAAATTTTTTTTTGTTTAATAATTCCGTGTATTGCAACACTCCAACAAATGGCATATTTTCGAAATTTGTTTGCAAAAAGATTTTCAAATTAAAAACGCATTTGAATAATAGACGCAAATGTTCAACAAAAAGTTATCAAATTTACCCATTCTACGAAGAATAAAGTTTTTAAATTCATTTCGACCAAATAGAATATTTGATAAATTCAAATGCATTTTATTTATTATGCAATCAATTCTTCATTTTTGCTATAAAAGGCGAAAATATGTGTTGGATGAAAACCAATTGAATTATTTAAATGAGAAGTTAACTCGCGTTGCTTACTGTTAAGTAATAAAAATATATTACTTAATTACATCAAAATTTATTTTATCATATAAGTGTGAAAATAAAACCAAAATATATATTTAAGCAAATAAGTGTAAGAATTTAACAATAATTGAATGTCAGTGGAATTAAATTCAAAAACAGGCTCAAAAAAATATGGAAGGGAAGAAGAGAAAAATTCTTGAATTGAACACTTAAAATTAGCAAAAAATATAGATTTTTGAGAGTAATTTATAAGAGGATGCTAATAAATTATCACTGATTTCTCTCTGCCATATAAATTTAATTATTTATAAAAAAAACTGAATATGCAAAGGATAATAAAATGAACGAGATCAGCATTATAGCATATAAAAATGTCATCTGTGAAAGAGAGAGCAATGTGATATTACGCATTACTTATAAATTCAATTATCATTTTATCTTCTTCGGTTACAATTCCTAATCTTAATATGTAAATCATTTTTCAAACATTTATGCAACTGCCACATGACTTATTCACTAATTTCAGTTTCATTATAAGATCAATAGTAGTGCAATTTAAAAATTCAAATCATTAATTAGATAGAAGTGATATGAAAAAAAAGTTAGCAGATTAGAACATTAACTAAAATGCAGCATAAAAAATAATGTAGTTATAAAATCATTTTGAAATACACAACGAAAATGCTGTATTTGAAATAAAGTACAATAATTTCAATTCCTCCTTATTAATGTAATGCAGTGGAAATTATTTGATTGATACCTTCTAAGTAATTCTTTTCATTATTTAAGTACACTTTTTCAACAGCAATTCTTTTTATTGTTTGAATATTACTCGTTAAATAATTGTTTGAATTTGAGTATTACTACAAGTAGAAATGAGTGGAAAAACAAGTTCACTTCTTTGAAGGAATTCTTCAAAAATTCCTTTTCCTCTTCTATCCTATCCAATTTTATCTTATTATATCTGTTTTTTCTAACCTAATGATTTTATATACTCTCTCTTTCTCTGGAGAGAGAGAGGAAGAAAAACCGATATATAAAATTTTGAATAATAGCTTATAATCCTCCTCTTCTTTTTCTTTTTTTCATAAAAAATCACATAGCAATACTGCAATTTAAACAATTCCAAATTATTAATTAATTTAAAAAAAGTGATTTTTTGAAATAAATTTTCCGAAATTTTTTAATGATAAAACAGACAAAAATGTGAAAATGCATAGTGTATGCACTCAATATAATAACATTTTTTCTCTTTTTTCGAAATTCTTAAAATGAAATGATTTATGAATAATATAAAAGGTAGAAGTTGGTGAAAGGGAATTTTCATTGTGAAATTATTCTTTCTTCATTTCAAAAAATATGCTTTTTATGGGAAATTTCTTACTTTATGTCCTTTGAGATGAATTTATTTCAGTGATTTTGGCTGTTAAAAATTAAAAGAACTATTGCTTATGGCAACAATTCTTTTAATTATTATTATAGAAGTTAATAATTAGAATTACGGATAAACTTTTGGCCTAAGAAAATTAATTTAATAAAATACTTAACAATTTGTAAATTGCTATTATTATCATTTTTCGATTATCATCGATAGCACTTTGATTATATTCTTTAGAGAAAGAAAGATGTATTCGAATATTAAGATAAAACTG